AGAGTCACTGTACTTTGCTCTTCCTCTCTCTCAGTTTGAATGGGACTGACTTTATATCAGCAGCTGTTTGATGTAGATGTAAGACCAATTACTGAGATCACATAAAGCAGCTGTACCGACAAACATTACATATGGTACACAGTTGTCACCCTCAGGAAGCCAGTCCATAGCAATGATGTGCAACTGATGGCAAAGCGAGTGCATGGAGCTAGAATGATCTGAAAGAGGGTGAAGGAGATCAGCAGCATAAAGCAAAAAAAAAGAATGATCAAAAAAGCGAATAAAAATATTTAATGAAAAAAAAAATGGTAATGGTTTATGATACTCAATGCTTGCCAAGTAATGTCATCCAAATTAGTTACATCTAATATCAGTCTTTCCCGATAAATGCAGGCAAAAAAATAAAGATACCAGTATTTGTGATATCATCAATGGCCACTAATTATTATTTATATATATATATATATATATATATATATATATATACACATATATACATACACACACATACATATACATATACAGTCAGGTCCATAAATATTGGGACATCGACACAATTCTAACATTTTTGGCTCTATACACCACCACAATGGATTTGAAATGAAACGAACAAGATGTGCTTTAACTGCAGACTGCCAGCTTTAATTTGAGGGTATTTACATCCAAATCGGGTGAACGGTGTAGGAATTACAACAGTCTGCATATGTGCCTCCCACTTCTTAAGGGACCAAAAATAATGGGACAGAATAATAATCATAAATTGGTTGCAAACTTTCACTTTTTAATACTTGGGTTGCAAATCCTTTGCAGTCAATTACAGCCTGAAGTCTGGAACGCATAGACATCACCCTTAAACTCTTTGGTTGCTTTTGCACGCTGGGTTTCATCCCTGGTGATGCTCTGCCAGGCCTCTACTGCAAACTGTCTTCAGTTCCTGCTTGTTCTTGGGGCATTTTCCCTTCAGTTTTGTCTTCAGCAAGTGAAATGCATGCTCAATCGGATTTTTTTAGATGTCGTTTGGCAAACTCTAATCTGGCCTTCCTGTTTTTTGAGACTCACCAATGGTTTCCATCTTGTGGTGAACCCTCTGTATTCACTCTGGTGAAGTCTTCTCTTGATTGTTGTCTTCGACACACATACACCTACCTCCTGGAGAGTGTTCTTGATCTGGCCAACTGTTGTGAAGGGTGTTTTCTTCACCAGGGAAAGAATTCTTCGGTCATCCACCACAGTTGTTTTCCGTGGTCTTCCGGGTCTTTTGGTGTTGCTGAGCTCACCGGTGCGTTCCTTCTTTTTAAGAATGTTCCAAACAGTTGTTTTGGCCACGCCTAATGTTTTTGCTATCTCTCTGATGGGTTTGTGTTGTTTTTTCAGCCTAATGATGGCGTGCTTCACTGATAGTGACAGCTCTTTGGATCTCATCTTGAGAGTTGACAGCAACAGATTCCAAATGCAAATAGCACACTTGAAATGAACTCTGGACCTTTTATCTGCTCATTGTAATTGGGATAATGAGGGAATAACACACACCTGGCCATGGAACAGCTGAGAAGCCAATTGTCCCATTACTTTTGGTCCCTTATCAAGTGGGAGGCACATATGCAAACTGTTGTAATTCCTACACCGTTCACCTGATTTGGATGTAAATACCCTCAAATTAAAGCTGACAGTCTGCAGTTAAAGCACATTTTGTTCATTTCATTTCAAATCCATTGTGGTGGTGTATAGAGCCAAAATTGTTAGAATTGTGTTGATGTCCCAATATTTATGGATCTGACTGTATATGTGTGTATATAGGTATATATATATTACACAATATAACCTCTCGTAATTTCCCTCCATCTCTACTCATCTAACAGTAAACGACATGTTTCATCATGCATTGGGATGTTCGTTTCCTGTGCAGGCATTACTTGGGCGAGTCTTTGGGCGGTGTCATGCAAGTAATTTTAGCCACAGTCACCGCCTCCAATGTCCACATACTACTAACCACAGGAGTGTTCGTTTTTATTCAGACAGTAGTAAAAGGTGGTTTCTCGTGACCCTAAGGTCCAGCCTTCCACTTGACTCTTTGCTGTGACATTCCTTCCTTCTCTCCCTTTGATGCAGATCCTACCCTTTTTGTTCTCACCATCATTACTTTTCTGCTGATGCAGCCCTTATGCTCTCTCCCTCAGACGCAGCCTCTACCCTCTCCGTTCTTACTGACATTCCTTCTCCTCTCCCTCAGATGCAGCCTCTACCCTCTCCCTTCTTACTGACATTCCTTTCTCCTCTCCCTCAGATGCAGCCTCTACCCTCTCCCTTCTTACTGACATTCCTTCCCCTCTCCCTCAGATGCAGCCTCTACCCCTCTCCCTTCTTACTGACATTCCTTCCCCTCTCCCTCAGATGCAGCCTCTACCCTCTCTATTCTTACTGACATTCCTTCCCCTCTCCTTCGGATGCAGCCCCTACTTTCTCTGTTCCTTACTCTTTCTCCCTCTGGTGGAGCCTCTACCCTCTTTTCCGTTCTCACTGACATTCCTTCTACTCTCTCCCTCCGGTGCAACCCCTACCACTTCCCTTCTTACTGACATTCCTTTCTCTCTGATGCAGCCCTCACCCTATGGGCGGTCCTTCAGGGGTAGATAATCTACCCTGTCCTTCTTACTGACATTCCTCCAATATCCCCAGGAGTGTCTGAGCGAGTTCAGACAGTAATAACACTTGTTTCATCTGTCCTTAAGGTTCAGCCTTTCCCTTGGCTCTCTCGTTCTCAGTCAGATGCCCTCTTTGCTCATTTGGATATTCCGTTTCCCTCTCCCTCCAGTGCAGCCTACCCTCCCCTCTCCATTCCTACTGACATTCCTTTTCCTCTCTTTCCAGTGCAGCCACTACCCCCTTTCATTCCTACTGACATTCCTTTTCCTCTCTGTCCAGTGCAGCCCCTACCCTCTCCATTCCTACTGACATTCCTTTTGCCTCTCCCTATGGTCCAGTGCAGCCGACTACCCTCTCCCCATTCCTACTTCAGACATTCCTTTTCCTCTCCCTCCAGGTGCAGCCCCTACCCTCGTCTCATTTGCCTACTGACATTTGGATTTCCGTTTCCTCTCCCTCCAGTGCAGCCCCTACCCTCTCCATTCCTACTGACATTCCTTTTCCTCTCCCTCCAGTGCAGCCCCTACCCTCTCCATTCCTACTGACATTCCTTTTCCTCTCCCTCCAGTGCAGCCCCTACCCTCTCCATTCCTACTGACATTCCTTTTCCTCTCCCTCCAGTGCAGCCCCTACCCTCTCCATTCCTACTGACATTCCTTTTCCTCTCCCTCCAGTGCAGCCCCTACCCTCTGCATTCTTACGGACATTCATTTTCTTCTCCTGCCATGCAGCCCCTACCCTCTGCATTCTTACTGACATTCATTTTCTTCTCCTGCCAGTGCAGCCCCTACCCTCTGCATTCCTACTGACATTCATTTTCTTCTCCTGCCAGGGCAGCCCCTACCCTCTGCATTTTACTGACATTCTTTCTCCTCTCCCTCTGGTGCAGCCACTACACTCTTAATTCTAATGGACATTCCTTCTCTCCCTCAGGTGCAGCCCTTACCCTCTCCATTCTTACTGGCATTTCTTTTCCCCTTTCCTCTCTGTTACTGACATTTTTCCTCTCCCTCTGGTGCAACCCCAACAACTTCATTCTCACCGACATACCTCCTCCTATCCCTTCAGTGCAGTCCATACCCTCTCCATTCTTAAAGATATTCCTTCTCTCCATCTGGTGTAGCCCTCCCCTAGAGTTAACCGTTTACTGGAGTTCTGCTTTACGTGTACGTACAGCCCACACTTTTTTTTTTTTTTTGATAAAGTAGTGAAGGATTGGAACCCCTTCAACATGGACATGATGATGCCAGCAAAATAGCCACTAAGAATACATAAAGGCAGCGAGGGGACTGGTAATTCTGATGAAGATGGAGCGGCCACAAGTGTCTGCTCCCCGAACAGGATATTGGGAATAGAAAGCCTCTATGACTTTTAGGAGTGATCGGAGGAGAATGCTGCCTCTATAAGGTTAGGCATTACTACTAGATGTACATGTGCCTACCAGACTACTAAAGATAGATTTTACCCACAGTGGGGCTTTAACAAGGATGCTGAGAATAAGGCATGATGCACAGATGACTACTAAAGGAAGAATACATAAAAGTGTATATGAGACAAGGGGGCTGACGTATCAAAGGAACATAGGCAGTTCACGCAGCAAAGTGAATATTAAATATAGTGAAGATGAGTTCACTTTGAATACCGAATAATGTGCAAAAAACAAATTATTTATAATATATTTTAACTAGCACAAGTGGGTATTCCAAGTAAGCACAGCTTCACCATAATTCCCTTTGCTAGGTGAACAGCCTCTATTACACAGGTGTTCACCTGTGGCAATTTTTGTGCAGTCCTCTCTGTGGGTAAGCAGTGGTTTCTCTGCAAAGGTGCCACACCCCCCTGCTCAGTCAAAGCCTGAAATATCTAGCCAGAAGGGATCCTGAGCTTTGCAGATAGCAGAGCTTTAGGTCTGACTGAGTAGGGGCATCAAGGACCTTTGCAGCGACTTATTCCCCACAGAGAGCAAGGGTCCAACTCTGCAGCTGCTGACAAGTGACAGGCATTACTACTTACGCTGTGGCTGATTTTTAAAGTAACCAAAATGAAAGCCTTTGAACACCTTTTGTTTTGATGGACCTGGAATGTATTTAGCGGACTTAAATTAAAGGTTTAATTTGGCTTTAATTTGGCTTGGGTGGGGAAAAAAAATATCAATGCACCTGAAATGCAGCATGTGAGCATGTGAGCAGCACACTGTGATATCATGCCCTGGTGGGAACAGATCCTATTGAAAGCAATGGATTTGCTCATTCGTATGTATTTTATCAGGGCTAGAAAGTGCAGAAGGAACAGATGACAGTGCATGTGGCACTGAGCTTTACACAGTAGAAGAATAATGAACCTGGCCATGTACTTACACTGCGGCAGATCATGGAGTCTTCAAAGTGCTGAGCACATAGTCTATAGTGCTTGTTGAGCTGATCGGAGGTTTTATCTTCTAAATCAGACCGACGACAGTTCTCAACCCACTTCTGGCATCTAAAGTCACAAAGAAAACAATGAGAAAGTGATGAAAAGTGTACAGCACATAGAAAACATAATAGGTGTGCCCAGCGAGTGGTGGGTGACATCTCTGAAGACTCCCCAACAGTCACCCCTACCAGTTTTACTACCCACACAAGCTTTAAGTATTCAGGACACCCGTCAACTTCATCGCCTCGCACTACCAGTCCCTTTGACCTGCATCCGGGACTCCCACCAGACCAATTGACTTGCATCCATGACACCTGCCAGCCTCTGTCCTGTACACAAAATGCCCCGCAACTGCCTTTCAGCACCCAGAATACCCATAAGCCTTCATCCCACACCCAGCATGCCTGCATCCAGGATACCCTCCAGCCTGTGTCCCGCATCCAGGATACCCGCCAGCCTCTGTCCCGCATCCAGGATACCCGCCAGCCTCTGTCCCGCATCCAGGATACCCGCCAGCCTCTGTCCCGCATCCAGGATACCCGCCAGCCTCTGTCCCGCATCCAGGATACCCGCCAGCCTCTGTCCCGCATCCAGGATACCCGCCAGCCTCTGTCCCGCATCCAGGATACCCGCCAGCCTCTGTCCCGCATCCCCGCCAGCCTCTGTCCCGCAGGATACCCGCCAGCCTCGTTGACCAGCATCCAAGATACCTGCAAGCTGTTGTTCAACATCAACGAACTGCTATTCAAAATCCAGGATGCCAGCCTTCTTCCTGCACCCAGGACACCTGCCAGCTGCCGTTTAACACCCTGGTCACACACCAGCCTCTGTCCTGCACCCAGGACATCCACCAGCTGCTGTCCGGCACTTAGTATGTCCGCCAGCCTCTGTTCCGCCCAAAGAACACCTGCCAGCTCCACATGCCTGCACCCAGCACACTCTCCAGCCTCCATTGTGCACCCAGGACTCCCACCAGCTACTATCCTGCACCCATTACCCACAAACTGCTATTCAAAGCCCAGGATGCCAGCCTTCCTCCTGCACTCAGGATGCCTGCCAGCTGCCATTCAGTACTTCTGCGGGCCACACAGTGGTGAAAATAATTATTTGATGCCCTGCAGATTTTGTAAGTTTGCCCTCTTACAAAGAAATGAAGGGTCTATAATTTATATCATAGGTGTATTTTAAACGATAGAGACAGAATATCAACCAAAAATCCAGGAAAACCACATGATACAAATGTTATAAAAGGAGTTGCAGTTCAGTGAGCAAAATAAGTATTTGATCCCCAAGCAAAACATGGCTTAGTATGTGGTGGAGAAACCCTTGTTGGCAAGCACAGAGAGAAGACGTTTCTTGTAGTTGTTTACCAGGTTTGCACACATCTCAGGACAGATTTTGGTTCACTCTGCTTTACAGATCTTCTCTAAATCCTTAGGCCCCTTTCACACGAACAGACTGACGAGGTCTGCCTGTCCGTTTTTCATGAGGACCCAATCGGTCCATTCATAGACTTCTATGGAACGGTGGTTGTCAGCGGACAATAATCCGCTGACACCTGCTGGCATCCGATCTGATCCTGTATGCCAAAAACAGAGGGATGGGGATCCGTTCCCCAATCCGTCCAGCGGATCAAGCGGTCCGTTTCCATTTGACCGTCTGTGTCTGATCTGCAGTAGCAGAGCAGAGACCTGTCATCCACCTGCACGGGAAGAGGTGGGGGCTGGGGAATCAGCGGAGAGATTCCCCCCCCTGAGCAGGTGGATCACGCTGACTGATCCGCCCTGCCTCAAAGTGGCCTTCAGCTTTCTTGGCTGTCGCTTGGCAACAAGTTTCAGCTCCCTACATAAATTCTCTATAGGGTTAAAGTTTGGAGACTGGCTAGGCCACTCCATGTCCTTAATGCGCTGCTTCTTGAGCCATAACTTTGTTGCCTTGGTGGAATGTTTTGGGTCAGTCATGCTGGAACACCCATCCATGACCCATCTTCCTAGATTGTAAGCTCCAAGGAGCAGGGCCCTCGAACCCCTCGTGTATCGAATTGTATTGATACGGTGCTGTCTCCCATTGTAATGTACAGCGCTGAGCAAACCGTTGGCGCTATATAAATACTGTATAATAATAATAATCTTCCGCGTTCTGGATGAGGGAAGAAGGTTCTCATCCAAGATTTTACAATACATGACCCTGTCCATTGGCCCCTCAATGCAGTCGGCCTGTACCTTTAGCAGAGAAAAAGCCCCAAAGCATAATGTTTTCACCTTCGAGCTTGACTGTAGGGATGGTGTTCTTAGGGTCATAGTCAGCATTTTTTTCCCTCCAAACACAGCGAGTCGAGTTAATGCCAAAGAACTCAATTTTGGTCTCATCTGACCCCAGCACTTTCTCCCAGTCCTTCTCTGAATCATTTAGATGTTCATTATCAAACTTCAGATGGGCCTGTACATGTACCTTCTTGAGGGGGACCTGGTGGGTGCTACAGGATTTCAATCCATGGTGGCATATTGTGTTACCAATGGTTTGTTTGGCTACTGAGATCCCAACTGCCTTGAGATCATGGACAAGCTCCCCCCATGTAGTTCTGGGCTGAACCCTCACTTTTCTTATGATTATCCTTACCCTATGAGGCGAAATCTTGCATTGAGCGCCAGACTGAGGGCGGTTGATGGTTATTATGTATTTCTTCTATTTGTGAATAATCGCTCCAACAGTTGTCTCCTCACCAAGCTTCTTGCTGATGGTCTTGTAGCCCATTCCAGCCTTGTGCAGGTCTACACTCTTATCCCTCACATCTTTTGACAGATCTTTGGTCTTGCCCATGGTGGTGAGGTTTGAATGGAAGAAAGATTCTGTGGACAGATGTCTTTTTTATACACATAATGAGTTGTTGTTAGGAGCACCTTCTTACATTGACAGGACTAATCTGTGTACCACATAGCTAGTCTGTGGGAGCCAGAATTATTGTTGGTTAGTAGGGGATCAAATACTTATTTTACTCACTGAACTGCAACTCCATTTATAACATTTGTATCGTGTGCTTTTTCTAGATTTTTGGTTGATGGTCTGCCTCTACATTTAACCTCCTTAGCGGTATTCCCGAGTGTAGCTCGGGGTAAAATTTGAGTACCACAAGCGGTAACCCCGAGCTACACTCAGGCTTACCATGCGGCATTGCTCAGGGAGTCCCTGCAGCACTTACCTTGTCCTTCGCTCCCACGATGTGTCCCCTGCAGCGTCCCCGGCCATCTCCTCCGGCCGATGCCGGCATCCGGTCCCTGTGACGTCGGGACGTACGGGCGCCGGAACCGGCGGCCAATTTGAAATTTTTTAAAAATTTCATTTTTTTTTTAAATGATTATTACATAGAAAAACATTGCTGTCTCAATGCATTTCACATACATTTTGTCCCGAGTGCTTTGTCCTGTGCCCTGCCTGCATTTTGACTGTTCTTTCTGCCTGGAAACTGAGAAATGTCCATGGCGTCCAAAAAGTGTCCCTTTACGTCAAAATCGGTTTTAGACCGGCTAGAGAACAGCGATAGTAAATCAGAACCACTTGCAGAATTGAGTGATAATGATTCGTGGGGGAAATTCATCATCAGACACTGAAAACGATTTTGCGACTTTGCTCAGCGATGTGCGAACTTGGCGCTATATTTCAAATTTCAGTGTTTTTGGTTTGATTACATTATTGAATTAAATGTATTACCGTATTTTTCGCTCCATAAGACGCACCTGACCATAAGACGCACCTAGGTTTTAGAGGCGAAAAACAAGAAAAAAAAATATTCTGAACCAATGGACTGCAGACACAGTACTGCAGATGACCAGAGACTGCGGACACAATACAGGAGATGACCGGAGACTGCGGACATAGTACAGGAGATGACCAGAGACTGCGGACACAGTACAGGAGATGACCAGAGACTGCGGACACAGTACAGGAGATGACCAGAGACTGCGGACACAGTACAGGAGATGACCAGAGACTGCGGACACAGTGCAGGAGATGAGCAGAGACTGCAGACATAGTGCAGGAGATGACCAGAGACTGCGGACATAGTACAGGAGATGACCAGAGACTGCGGACACAGTACAGGAGATGACCAGAGACTGCGGACACAGTACAGGAGATGACCAGAGACTGCGGACACAGTACAGGAGATGACCAGAGACTGCGGACACAGTGCAGGAGATGACCAGAGACTGCGGACATAGTACAGGAGATGACCAGAGACTGCGGACACAGTGCAGGAGATGACCAGAGACTGCGGACACAGTGCAGGAGATGACCAGAGACTGCGGACACAGTACAGGAGATGACCAGAGACTGCGGACACAGTACAGGAGATGACCAGAGACTGCGGACACAGTACAGGAGATGACCAGAGACTGCGGACACAGTACAGGAGATGACCAGAGACTGCGGACACAGTACAGGAGATGACCAGAGACTGCGGACACAGTGCAGGAGATGAGCAGAGACTGCAGACATAGTGCAGGAGATGACCAGAGACTGTGGACATAGTGCAGGAGATGACCAGAGACTGCGGATGTACTACAGGAGATGACCAGAGACTGCGGACACAGTACAGGAGATGACCAGAGACTGCGGACACAGTACAGGAGATGACCAGAGACTGCGGACACAGTACAGGAGATGACCAGAGACTGCGGACACAGTACAGGAGATGACCAGAGACTGCGGACACAGTGCAGGAGATGACCAGAGACTGCGGACATAGTACAGGAGATGACCAGAGACTGCGGACACAGTGCAGGAGATGACCAGAGACTGCAGACACAGTGCAGGAGATGACCAGAGACTGCAGACACAGTACAGGAGATGACCAGAGACTGCAGACACAGTGCAGGAGATGACCAGAGACTGCGGACACAGTGCAGGAGATGACCAGAGACTGCGGACACAGTACAGGAGATGACCAGAGACTGCGGACACAGTACAGGAGATGACCAGAGACTGCGGACACAGTGCAGGAGATGAGCAGAGACTGCGGACATAGTGCAGGAGATGACCAGAGACTGTGGACATAGTGCAGGAGATGA